TTTTTTTTTTTTTTTTTTTTTTTTTTTTTTTTTTTTTTTTTCTTTAAGCTGATGAAGATATAGAGAGTCTGAACTTGTAATAGAATCGTGTTTCTGATTCAGATGTTAAAGTTATGAGAGAAATTCTGCTTAATTTACTAAGGATCTGTAGATTTCAATAATGTTTGATGGGTTGACTGTATCAGCTCATACCACAATCATTGATAATATAAATATTAATTTGCCCTTTTCTTTTCTCCTTGTGGTGCAATCCTTATTTAGTTAAACAGATGTTTCCTTTTCCCTCTTAAAATCTTAAAAAATCATCAGTTAACTAATTTTTTTCATATAAACCTTCATCTCTTGGATATATATATATATGCATACGATTGTTGTATAAATGAAAAGCATCTGTAAACAGAATATGGATCGTGCCCGAAGGAAAAGGACTCGCAAGAACAACCGCGTTCGAAGCTGAGAGATTAAAGCTAGTTTCGGAAGGTTGCGATACGAAATTCGTGAGTACTTTTGCATTTTGTTTGGCTTTATTGTCACTTTCTTGCAATTATGTCTTCAATCACTTATGAAATATCTCAACATTTTTTCTTTTCTCCTCTTTTTTTGTGTGGGTTCCCATCAATTTGAAACAGAATAGTATAAAAAGGATGCCAATGAAAATCTTGCAGGATGTAACCAAGACTCAGAACACTTTACAGTAAGTTAGCTAGCTTCTGCTGAATGAAAGTTAAATTTTTCTGACTAATTCTTTTATTTCTTTCTTTGTTATTAATCGCGAACGGAAACTTTTCTAGGACACTGGACAAGACCATTTCGAACCTTGAGATGGAATTGGCCGCAGCAAAGGCAGCACAAGAGTCAATTTTGAGTGGGGCCCCCACATCCGAAGCTACTGAATCTTCCGGAAGACGAAAATATTTCATGGTAATCGGGATAAACACCGCATTTAGCAGCCGTAAAAGAAGAGACTCGGTTCGTGCCACATGGATGCCACAAGGTTTGTTTGTCGATGAAATAATACTTCTGACTCTAATTTCCACCTTCTGTGTAATAGTTTCTAATCCTTGAAACTGTGCGAATAGGAGAAAAACGGAAAAAGCTCGAGATGGAGAAAGGAATCGTTGTTCGTTTTGTCATTGGCCATAGGTGAATGAATGCTCATGTCAACTTATTAATAAAAAACCTTCTTCTCTTGTACCAACATTTTGTGAATTTTGCATATCTTGCATTTGAAAAAATGCTTTAATGTGTATTTGAACTGATTCAAATTTGTCTTTCGGGTACACAGTGCAACATTAGGAGGTATACTGGATAGAGCAATTGAAGCTGAAGATAAAAAACATGGGGACATTATGAGACTGGTAAATACAAATTATACAATATATATGCATATATTGACATGTGATTTTCTTGTTAAGACAAGTCGTGTTCTTGTGTTACTCAGGATCATGTAGAAGGTTATCTCGAGTTGTCTGCCAAGACAAGGACTTATTTTGCAACTGCTGTGTCTTCATGGGATGCAGAGTACTATGTCAAAGTCGATGATGATGTCCATGTAAATATAGGTACGAAAAAAGTATATTCGTAAAAAAGTTAATCCATCAAACTTTCATTTTTCGTTGTTTTTTTTTAATTCTGTATGTAATTGTATAACTATTGCAGCAACACTTGGAGAAACATTAGCAAGACACCGTAAGAGCCCCCGGGTGTACATAGGATGTATGAAATCCGGTCCAGTTCTTTCTCAGAGGTTCACCCTTAACCATTCCTAGCAACTATTCTATGTGATCATATCATCTTAATATGTTCTTACACCATTAGTTCATTTTCTTGAAACTTTATGAAACAGGGGAGTTAGATACCACGAACCCGAATTCTGGAAATTTGGCGAGCCGGGGAATAAGTATTTCCGCCATGCCACAGGACAGTTGTATGCCATCTCGAAAGACTTGGCTTCTTATATCTCAGCAAACCAGTTATGTTTTTTTCCTTGTGTTTACTACAATGTCGAATAAGAAGATGAAAAATTATATTTATCTCGTGATATCTTTATTTATTCGAGTCGTGCGCAGGCATATGCTGCACAAGTACGCTAATGAGGATGTCTCGCTCGGATCTTGGTTTATCGGGCTTGACGTTCGACACATAGACGATCGGAGATTGTGTTGTGGGACCCCACCCGGTAAAATCTCTTTAATTACCAAACAACTATTTACATTCAAATGCAAGAAAAAAAAAAATTAACATATCAAGTAATTTTTTTTTTTTACCTAACGACTAATGGGAGTCGGTTAATTTTCCATGCAGATTGCGAGTGGAAAGCTCAGGCAGGCAACATATGCGTTGCCTCGTTCGATTGGACCTGTAGTGGGATATGCAGATCAGCCGATAGGATTAAAGAGGTCCATCGACGGTGTGGTGAAAACGAGGATGCTGTTTGGAAGGCTAATTTCTGAGAGTCGATCGACAACTTATAATTCAATATTGGTCTCCCCTTGAATTCGACAATTGCAAGAGATTTCTCGTTTCGTTCAAATATTAGGTCAGATGTATACAACACATAGAGTAGAGAAGGATGGGGAGAGGGGGAGACTTTTCATACGTACTTATTACTTCTCATCATTTTTAGTGGAGAGGTTTAGCTGCTAATGCCAGTGAAGAAGAAGGGCAAGCCTTTGAAGCTACATTTGTAAGATTGTTAAAGAAGTTTTAAGTTTGGAGAGTTTGTGGTACAAAATGGTGGGATCAATGGGTCCTCTGTATGTATCTATTGCCTTTTATGATCTCATGAATTATTTTTTTGTATTGTAAAAATGAAAATGAAATGTTCTATATAAGCCCAATTCGAATCAGACCCATCAATAACTCGACTTGATCCGAATCTTCAAATATGGTTTCTAATATTTTGGGCGAAAAGACACAAATGAACTCTTTCAAAAACAACATTACATAAAGGAGAAATGTGGGATAGAATTCCAAAAATACTCCATCTCGTCCAAAATCCAAATGATTCATATGGTAACCGCCTAACCGTTTCCCATCCTTATATTCTCTCCATTGTCCTTTTTATATTATTTAGTAAATATTAAATTCTCATTTTATGTCACTCCATTAATCACGTTCTCCATTAAAGTGTAAGTTCTAAAGTTTATTTATTTAACCAATTATACATTTTATTTATATAAAAATTAAAATATCGGATAATTTATATACATAACTATTGATAGAGATGGATCAATTAGATCATTTATATATTAAAAAACAATTAAATTAGCTAAAAAATATCACAAAATATTTGTTATTTCAACTTAAAAATTAATAATATAATTTACAAATCACAACAAATAAGTAACAACAAAATAACAATGTAATGTAACAACTGTAAAGCTACCTAAAAATAACCTTCCATTAACAATAAAATAATACGAACATAATATTATATATTATATATATATTGAATGTCAAAACAACAAAAAATCAACCTACCAATAATCATCGTAACAATAATTAAATTTACAAGGTGTAAAGCTAAGAGCTCAAGATAATTTGGGAAATTTTCTTATTATTTCTGTAAACTCAAAGTTACAGTAATTGATGAAGAAGATACTCAACTTATACGTTGAGGTTAAGGTCCATAATGACCATTACAAAACACACACGTGTCCTAATTAATACTAAAGGAAAAAGAACAGAAATGAAAATGAGAAGTGCGTCTTTATAAGTAAAAGGCGACTTCACTACAAACACAACAAAACGAGCCTAAGATAGAAAAAACCATGCACAGTACAAAACCTGCATCCCAAAATATATCATTATCATTCCAACACCCCCCCCCCCCCCAAGTGGGAATGTGGCTGTGATCCACCATTCCCAACTTGAGCAAAAAGAACTTGAAGTCAGCTCCTCCAAGTGGTTTAGTAAAGGTGTCTGCAGGCTGAAGAGATGAGGAGATATGTTGAGGTAGTATGAAACCTTCTTTATACTTGTTCCTCACAACATGACAATCAATATCCAAGTGCTTAGTCCTCTCATGAAAAACCGGGTTGGCAGTAATATGGATTGCTGCTTTGTTGTCACACCACAAAGGAATTGGAAGTGTAACTGGAAACTGTAAATCCTTAGCCAGCCCAGCAATCCATTGAAGCTCACAAACTGTAGTTGCCATTGCCCTATACTCAGCTTCTGCAGATGACTTGGATACAGAATTTTGCTTCTTTGTTTTCAAGGAGATCAAGGCATCCCCTAGGAAAATGCAGTACCCAGTGATAGATTTTCTGGTAATAGCACATGTTCCCCAATCAGCATCACAAAAAGCTTGGACAGAACCATTTGACTTTCTAGGAAAATGAAGTCCCAGTGTACAGCTACCCTTTAAGTACTTCACCAAATGCAATGCTGCTGACCAGTGACTCTCCAAAGGTGCCTTGATGTATTGACTGAGTTGCTGGATGGCATAAGAAGCATCTGGCCTGGACAAATTCAAATATAACAGTCTTCCTACAAGTCTTCTGTAAGGCTCAGGATCAAGTAAGGGAGAATCTTGATGAGTAGAGAGATTGAGCCCATGTGGAAAGGGAGTAACTGTGGCCTTACTTTCTTGCAGTCCCAAATCCTTCACCAAGTCCAGAATGTATTTTCTCTGATTCAGGTGTACACCTTGGGAGCCCTGAATAATCTCTAAACCCAAAAAGTATTTAGCTAGGCCCAGGTCTTTAATGGTAAACAGGTTGTTCAGATAGGATTTTAGATGTTGAATGTCTGTAGAGGAGGTTCCTGTTATAAGAACATCATCCACATAGATGATAAGAGCTAGAAAGCCTTGAGAAGAGTGCTTCACAAAGAGACAGTTATCATGTGTGGATTGCTTGAAGCCATAGGCAATCAGTTTCTCAGAAAACTCCAAGTTCCACTGCCTAGATGCTTGCTTTAATCCATAGAGGCTTCTTTGCAGTAGACAGACTTCTCCCTTTTTGGCTTTATGGTATCCTTGAGGTGGCAACATGTATACTTCTTCTTCAAGGAAGCCATGGAGAAAGGCATTGTTAATATCAATATGATGCAAATTCCAACCATGCTGCACTGCCAATGCAATGAGTAGTCTTACAGTAACTAGCTTTGCAACAGGAGAGAAACTTTCCCTAAAATCCACACCTTCCTCTTGGAGATATCCTTTTGCTACTAACCTTGCCTTGTACTTGTCAACAGTTCCATCAGGGTTCCTCTTAATTTTATACACCCATTTTGAACCAATTGCCTTCTTTCCCTCTGGAAGAACAGTTAGTTTCCAAGTGTGATTTAGTTCTAAGGCATCCAATTCCTTCTGCATTGCTTCTACCCATTTAGGATTTTTAGCAGCATGACCATAGTAAATAGGCTCAGTATCTGTTTTATCCACTTCTGTCATAAACAATGCATGCTCCCTTTTTGATGACTCACTGTGTTTGATGTGAGTCACATAGTCTTGCAACCAGCTAGGTGGTTTTCTCACCCTTTTATCAGGTAGTTGTTCCTCAGATGCTGGTTTAGCTGATGTAGTGTGAGATTCCTTTACATGATCAGATTCAGAAACATCATCTATATCCTCAAATGTCCTTGGCAAAACAACTTGTGGCAAAATCTCTGACAATCCTTTGCTAAATGGAAAAATGTGTTCATAGAAAGTGACAGCCCTTGAAACAAAGACACTTTCATTTTTCAAATCATATAACCTGTGACCTTTAACTCCTCCTACATTTCCCAGATAAACACAAGCTTGTGCTCTATCATCAAACTTCTTTCTTCTAGGATCTTGTCTGTAAGCATAGGCCAGGCACCCAAAAATCTTAAACTTTCCATAATCTGGTTGTTTACCATAGAGCAATTCATAAGGTGTTTTCCAACCCAGAACTTCACTAGGCAAAGAATTGAGTATATGCACTGCAGTTAGTAAGGTGTAGGGCCAAAACTTCTTGTCCAAGTATGACAAGAAAAGCAAAGATCTAGCAATTTCCAAAATAGTCATGTGCCTTCTCTCAACTATCCCATTCTGTTGTGGGGTGTAGGGACAGGTTCTCTGGTGTATTATTCCTCTTTCCTTGAACAAATTTTGTACATTGTCACCCAGAAATTCTGATCCATTATCTGTTCTGACATGCTTCACAAGCTTTCCAAACTGAACCTTTATCATTTCAAAGAAGTTCTTTAAGTTCTGACATGTTTCAGATTTGTATCTCATAAGAAATATCCAGGTCCCTCTTGTGTTATCATCTACTATTGTCAGCATGTAAGAGACATTAGTAATAGCCATATCATGACAAGGGCCCCAAACATCCACATGAATTAAGTCAAACATGCTGTCTGTCTTAGTAGTGCTTAAATGAAAAGGCAATCTGCTTTGTCTTGCTCTATGACATACATCACAAGGTTTCACACTTTGTCCCTTGCAAAACACCTTTAAAAAATCAATGTGTCTTAAGCATGACACTGAACTGTGTCCTAACCTTTTGTGCCAAAGTTCCAATTGCTGATTTGCAGTGTTTTCCTCATTCACTTGATTGACTGCACAATGTTTGCCTCTGATAATGTATAAACCACCATGAGTTATCCCCTTTGCCAATGACCTTTTTTTTTCAAGGTCCTGCAGCAAGCATCTCTGTTCATCAAATGTACATATCAGTTTCTTCTCATCTGTCAGCTGACCAATGGATAATAAGTTGTAATTGAACTCTGGCACTATGAGCACATTTGTCAAGACAATTTCTTCATTCGGTCTGACATTCCCAACCTTTGTCACTTTAATTTTGGCCCCATTGGGTAAATTGACTGTAATAGGCATGTTTAGATTTCTGAAATTATCCACCAAATCAGGATTGCAGCAAATATGTCTGCTAGCACCACTATCAACAATCCAGCTCGTCTCCTCTATGTTTTCCAATAAGGAGAAACCAAAATGGTTGATATTACCTGAGAAATCAGTGTGCTGCATAAAAGATGATGAGTCTCCAGCTTGTTGTCCTGCCATGTATTTGGCAATTTCTTTCTGCAACAATGAACTGATATCTCCAAAAGGACCATGAACCTGTTGCTTCTCTCCATCAGTTTCACTTGATTTGTTGCTCACACTTTGGTCATCCACCATATTTGCAAGCTGACCACCCTTTGATTCTTCAAATCCTGGTACCATTCAGGATATCCATTAAGTTTGAAGCAACCTTGGATCTCATGTCCATTATAACCACAATGCTCACAGAACAACTTTGCTCTTTCTTCTTTAGACAATCTAGTTTGCCCTCTCCCTCTCCCTGGATTGTTGTAGCTTTGCCCAAAAGTGCCTCTGCCAGCATTACCTCCTCCAAAATTTCCCATACCACCAGTTCCTCTTCCAAAATTCCTAGTGTTTGTTCCTCTTCCAAATCCTCCTTTTACCAACATAATTGAGCTATCCATACTATCCATGTTTGAGTTGTAAATGGTCTTCTGTTTCTCTACTTTCAGGATCATGGAATAGGCCTTGTTAATGGTAGGTAATGGTTCCATCAACAATATCTGGTTTTTAACCGGCTCAAATACATCATTCAGCCCCATTAAAAATTCCATGACCTTACTCTCTGAATCATTATCATTATATGCCTTTTCAGCACCACAATTGCACTCAGGTAAGACAACTAAGCAAGAATACTCATCCCAAAAGCATTTCAGCTTGGTGAAGTAAGAGGTAACAGAGAGATTACCTTGAGAAAAATTTGAGATCTCCTTCTTCAGCTGATATCGAAGAGGTCCATTACTCTCACCGTACCTCTCGGCTAACTCATCCCATAGCTGTTTCGAGGACTTCACGCACATGAAAGCTTCGACAATCTCCTTTGAAATCGAGTTCAATATCCATGACATCACCATGAACTCCACTTTCTGATACTGTTCATAATCTTCTGAATCTAGATCTGGAATCACGACTGTACCATAAACGAAACCTAGTTTGGATTTTGCTCCGAGTGCTAACCTCATAGCACGGCTCCAATGGAGATAGTTAGATCCGGTGAGCTGGTTGCTCACCAACACCAAGCCTGGATGATCGGATCCGTGAAGTAGGAGTGGATCTGAATCGCGAGAGTATTTTGCGACTGTTGTCTCTCTTCCTGCTCTGCCATCGCCATCGCGCGCCATTAGTGACCTGCTCTGATACCATGTAAAGCTAAGAGCTCAAGATAATTTGGGAAATTTTTTTATTATTTCTGTAAACTCAAAGTTACAGTAATTGATGAAGAAGATACTCAACTTATACGTTGAGGTTAAGGTCCATAATGACCATTACAAAACACACACGTGTCCTAATTAATACTAAAGGAAAAAGAACAGAAATGAAAATGAGAAGTGCGTCTTTATAAGTAAAAGGCGACTTCACTACAACCACAACAAAACGAGCCTAAGATAGAAAAAACCATGCACATTACAAAACCTGCATCCCAAAATATATCATTATCATTCCAACACAAGGAATCACAATAACAATAATAAAAAACAATACCATCTATGAGATTGGTTTGTTGTTCGTAGTCGCTCTAAAAAAGTACCATAAACCCTAAACCAGAAAAAGGGCCCATCACGGACCTTAGATTGAGGCAGCCCATCTCGGCATCCATTTGCGCCAATCTCTGTCGGCAAGTCATTCGCCGCTCACGAGGCGAGTGTGACAGTTGTCGCCATCACGACCGCAGCCTGTCGCTCAACGTGGTCATCTTTTCAGTACAGATTGTTTTGACTTTTGACGGCTAAGTGAAAGAAGAAAGTCGGAATTTCGGGGGCTTAGTATTTTAGGTGTGTGTTTATGGTAAGAAAATTCAAGCAAAAGAGGAGTAATTAGGGATATGTGGTCTGCATCTTTTAAGATGAATGGAGGAAGAAAACAGAGGAAAGAAGAAATAAAGGAGTGCCGAGAAAAAAGTGTGAGAGAGAAAAGAAAAAGTAAAAGAAGTGGGAAAATGATTTTGGAAACTGCTTAAAATTCAATAAAAGGAGTAAGTATGGAATACTGCATATGCCATGTCAATAGGATAAATAAAATTTTACAAGGGACAGTCAGTGTCCTTTATTCAATATTTTGCCTACAATAATATACATAGATATGTAAATTGATTTCTTGGGTTTAATTGGGTCTGATATTGGGCTACAGATTAAAACATGAGTAGGCCCATTAAAAAGTGTTGAGAGAAGATGACAATATGGCACACGAATTAAAGAAAAAACGAGAAAAGTAAACAATACAAGATTTACGTGGTTCGGCAATGTGCCTACGTCCACGGCGGCTGATGGATCTTTATTATTCTCAATCGTATCAAATACATCAATACACCATGTATTATTCTTGCTCCACTCCGTTTCCCTCGCTACGTTCGCTCCGTTACGCTCGCAGGCATCAGCCTGCCCTCTTTCTTTTGTCAATATATGAACCATATCAACAAAAAGTTTTATGGGCCGAAATTTCCTGACCGCACCAATGACCCCTTTCAATTTCTATCTCGTCTCAATTCGCAAAGCATCTATTTTTGCTTCTTTTATCGGCACAAATGGGTTCTATATTCTTTTTTCTACATTTTCCCATCCCTACCCCATAGACTATTTCATTACCCAAGAAATATAATCTATATGATATTATTTCTTTATATTTGCTTAGGAAAAAAAATATCAATTCCATTTTAAAACTAAAGTTACTCACTACGTTAACAATTTAAAATCAATCCACCATATACTGTACAATCAACGTTAAAACAAGGGTTGACTCAAGTGGTAAGCAGCTTGATGTCGCTTAAGCAAGGTATCGAGTTCGAATCCTTGTGAATGCAGAAAACCCTTGTTGGGAGACTCACCCACCATTGCCAGGTGTGCGACTCGAATCGACTAACGGATTAGTCGGGGCAACACTCCGAATACCGTTGCTTGCTACCAAAAAAAAAAAAACGTTGAAGCATCGCTTGTTTGTTTTTTTTTTTTTCTTAATTTGTATATAATTTTATCACTTAAAATAAATTCCAAACAAAAATTTATTTGATCATAATATAACAACAATTATTACTATTATTATTATTATTATTATTATTATTATTATTATTATTATTATTATTATTATTATTATTATTATTATTATTATTATTATTACTCTTTCTAGAGGTGTGCTATAGTAAATATAAATACTAAATACAACAATTTTCTACCCTTATCAATTAGTACTTCCATTCAACAAACGTGAATTGTATGGCACCAAACTTGGAAAAAATAAATAAATAAATAAAATAAAATAAATTAGAGAATTCCTGATCCCGTTACGAAACCATTCCGTCGGGTTTATACCGTTAGATCAACTATCTATGATGGTTACATAATAATTTAATGATTACAAACTCCGACAGAACGGTTCGTAATGGAACTGTAGCATTTCCCTCAATTAGATAGATATTGTTAGCGTGTAAGAGTTGAAAGAAAAAAAAAAAAAAAAAAAGAAAAAAAAAATAAAATTCTGTTTCAACAAATCTACAACCCTCGTGTACCCTACTAGCATACGGTCCTCGTTTTCTCCAGTCTCAAACCCCTTCCCATTTTCTAGCCGAGTCCATGGCCTCTCTCACCAAACACTGAAACACACAAAATAATTACTTACTTATATAATTAATATATGCCCATTAATGGAGTTGGACTCCTTTTCATCCAGATCACACTACCACCGCCTCCACCGCAAATCCCACTTTCTTCTCCCAAAACCTCCCGCGACCATGGCCACGCCGGTCAACTCGCCTCCACCGCCGCCCGCAACCATACAGTTCCCGGTCAGCCTCGCCCGCGATGAAGAAGACGATCAGGACCTCCACGGGAAGCGTAAGGTGATCGACGAGGTGGATTTCTTCTCCGACAAGAAAGAGGCGGCCGCCGCCGACGACGACGACGAGGCGGCGCATCCCGGCGGGCCAGATCGTCGCTCGGCCGTGGATTTTAAAGTGAATGTAATGTTCTGTCTCCTCCTTCTGTGGGTCTTTTTCGTTTCGAATTGAGATTTAATTCGAATTTTAATTTAATTATTTTTTTTCGGGGTTTTGAATTTGGGTATAGACTGGTTTGCATCTTCTGACGACAGCCAACACTGGGAGCGATGAGTCGATTGTCGACGATGGGATGTCTGCCAATTCAGAAGACAAAAGATCAAAAAATGAGGTGAGAGTGTGTGAGGCCACTGTTTGTGGATTTTATGTTCATTTTTAATTTGGTTTGCATGTTTAATTAAATTTTCAATTGATTATTGGATCACAATCCTCACAAACATACTTGTGAAATGTGCAATGATCAATAATATTATTTTTTTTTTAATAATGTAGAAACATAAGAACAATCTTCACCAAAATTTTACATGCCGACTTGAAATGTCGCGCCTCATTGACCAATACATCACATTCAGAGTCATCCTACCTCGTTAGACGAGTCGACCCATCATATTTTATGATAAAAATTGCATATTTTCTACTTAAATATCATACTTTGTCATATAATGTTTTTTTAACAATATGATAACTTCTAATAAAAGTATGCATATTTGTTAATAAAGTATGCTGCTTAATGGTTTGGCTGACCTAAGACATACCCATGCTTTAAAAATAGTGCCATTACTCTGAAAGTTTATCAATTTGAGGACACATGGAATTTCAATGTGTAATTTGACATGGGAAACACGTGATATTTTTCTTATTTTGCTTAATTTTAAAAGAGATGAGATTATCATTAATCAACTGCAATGCAATATTGCAATTAACCATACTATTTTTTCAAAATTTTTCCCATGTTTTACAATGATAGATAAATTTTAAAGATGTTTCAATGCAAAAGTTCTTGATGACTCATGAAAAAAACTGTGTATCAGATTGCCGTAGTCCAGGCGGAGATGGAGAGGCTGAGCTCCGAGAACCGCCGTCTGAGGGAGATGTTGAATCAGACAACGAACAACTACAACAGCCTGCAGATGCATTTACTCACACTTATGCAGCAGCAGCAAGGACAAGGACACGAGTCTGTTGAAGAACACAAGTTCAACAGCAGCCACGACAATAACAATAACGGGCTCCGCCAGTTCATGGATCTTGGATTTCCCATCAACAATGATGAAGCCGCCTTGTCGCCGCCCGAGGGGAGGACAGGCAAGCTATCACCGGCATCGCCCGACAAGGAAATCGAGGAAAGAGACGAGCAGGAGAGCAGCAAGGCAGCCAAGCATGGTCACTGCACTAGAAGTGTCGACCAAGCCACCGAGGCCACCATGCGAAAGGCTCGCGTCTCAGTTCGTGCTAGGTCCGAGGCCTCCATGGTAACACATGCCCGATATATATTTAGTTAAAGTTAGATGGTATTTGGTTTACTTTCTCATCCGTAACATTTTTTTTTCGGGGTTTTTGTGAACGATGGATGAATAGATCACTGACGGATGCCAATGGCGCAAGTACGGCCAGAAGATTGCAAAGGGAAACCCATGGCCCCGCGCATACTACCGGTGCACCATGGCCGCCGGTTGTCCCGTCCGAAAGCAAGTATGTCCTTCTTCTTCAGTTCCTTTGTTTCACATAAATTTTTCAATTAGCCTTATGAAAGGCAAAAATTCAATTTTAGTCCGTTTACTTGCATAAAGTTCATATTTGGTACATCTCATAGAAACAATATAGTACATTAGGCTTCAATTTGTATCATTTCTAGGATATTAATCTAAAAAATGGTACGTTATATGTGGGATTGATGTTCCAAAATGATATAAATCGAAACATACTGTAAAAATTCTTATGAGTAATGTCCCGAAAATGATAGAAATTGCAATATAATGTATTATATTTTTTATTAGAAGAAATTTTAGTGTACTAAAAAATGACTTTAGACAAGTAAACGGACAAAAATAGCAATTTTGCCGAAGTGTCCATATTTGTGCATGTTGTCTCATTGAGATGTCGCGTTTCATCTTTTACGATTTTGCTATGGAGCAATCCGATGGTTCGGCTTATAGTCATCCATAGTTATTTATAAATGGTGTATTGACACGTGTCTTGCAATAAATACACATTGGACACGTGTCAGTATATAAAGTTATGGATGACTCCATAGAATTTATGTCCATCTTTTATGTCAGTCATCAAATCCTTAATACGGAGGTATAGGATTTGGACGTGAAACTTCATATATGGTTTTGTGATTGAAATCTCATTAAATCTTAAGAAAAAAATCCACTGATAAATAAATTGAACACATATTTTATGACTTTTTAAAATCTTAAATGAATACGTCCGAACATCAGGTCCAGAGATGCGCGGACGACACGACCATACTCATCACTACTTACGAGGGCAACCACAACCACCCGCTGCCGCCGGCCGCCATGGCCATGGCCTCGACCACCTCCTCGGCCGCCCGCATGCTTCTCTCGGGCTCCATGCCGAGCGCCGACGGCCTCATGAGCTCCAACTTCCTCGCTCGGAATCTCCTCCCATGCTCGTCCAGCATGGCTACCATCTCCGCCACGGCCCCTTTCCCCACCATCACTCTCGACCTCACCCAATCCCCCAACCCACTGCAGCATCAGCAGCTTGCCCCGCGGCCGCCCAACCAGTTCACCTCCTTCCTCAGCCCGCCGGGTAATATTCCGGTGGGAAACTCGGCGGCTGCTGCCCTCCTGCCGCAGATATTCGGGCAGGCGCTTTACAATCAATCAAAATTCTCGGGGCTCCAGATGTCATCGGACCCGAATTTCACGGCAGACCCAAATTTTACGGCGGCTTTAGCGGCAGCCATCTCGTCGTTTATGGGCGGGCCGAGTTCAAACAATGGGAATGGCAATGCGAATAATGCTAGCAACAACAACAACATGCAACAACAAGAGTAGAGAGAGCTATCGGGTGAAATGAATGATCAAGTGAGCTAGCCATGAGAAAATCTCTTTAAGGTTGTACTCTCTCACTTTCTCCCTTACTCTATGATTTTTTTTTTCAATTTTTTTTTTTTAGTGGAGGGTTTTCTTGTCTTCCTCCATAGGAAATTGAATTATCCACTAGAATATTTTTGGCGCTCTTTCCGGTTTTCGTTTTCTTTAATAATGTAAGATCATATAACTGTAAACCAAAAAGAAAATAAAAATAAAAAAAAAAAGAAGGAAGAAAAGAATGTTTTGAAATGAATTTTTTTTTTTGTTTTTTTTTACTACAAATCTGAAAGGTTAAAATTCAAATTTTATGTGAGACAACATACAATCAGACATCCATCATACTTTTTGATAATTACATTGTGAAATATATATGTATGTATATTTATAGGGAGAAATTCCAAAATAGTCCCACAAGTATAGGGGTGACAATTTTGGTCTAAACGGAATACAAAAAATATAAATAGTCCCACAGCTTGTTAAAAATGATCAAAAGTTGGATTTTTTTGCCGGATTTATTATCCAGCCCGGAACGCCACGTCGCGCACATGACTCATTTTTTTACACGAGTTGTGGGACTATTCATATTTTTATGCATACTTGTGGGACCAAAAATGTCACACTTCCTGTACCTGTGGAACTAGTTTTGAATTTTTTACTATCTACGTCGGATGCCAGCGTGTAAGAAAATAAGCCACATGTGCGCCACGTGGCGTTCCGGGCCGAAAATAGTGATTCCGGCAAAAAAAAGTCCTATTTTTGATCATTTTTAAAAAGTTGTGGGACTATTCATATTTTTTGTATTCCGTTGGGACCAAAATTGTCACTCACCTATACCTGTGGGACTAGTTTTGAAATTTTCCCTATATTTATACATACATAAGACTTGGTTTAAATAAGAACCAAGCCCTAACGTGAGAACCGCAATTTTTGATTGTATGTAGTGCTATGATTAATTGTGTTTTAGTGCTATTTTTAATTAGGATGTATTTTATTAAAAATAGCAATAAAATTTTTATTAGCATTTGTGAAAATAATAGCATCATGCAATATTAAAAATAACATCAAACACAATTAAAAATAGCTTCAATTATGATTCTCACAGTTTCTCACACCAGACTTAGTTTTTATTTGAATCAACCCCGACATACATATTATGATCAATCGCCTAAATCTTGCGGGCAAAATTGGAAATAAATGGGAACACCCCTCAATCGACTTTCTATGGCCATCATGTATATTATATAGACTTATTAGTTGTACCTTTGAACAACTTAAAAAGTGCATTTGAGCAAGCTGTTGATTTTGTTGTGTTCTCCGCGTGAATCCAAGAATTGGATTTTGTTTTTTTTGGTACAAATGAAGGAGGCCGGAGCCTAACGCCTCTAGATAGTCGTGTTCCGTGGGTACGCAACGCCAAAGACGTCGTGCGTTAGCCACGGTTTGACTTCTGTCGGCGGATCGAGCAGTCGCTGACAACCATTGGGACATGTGTGGGCTAACGTCGCCAAGCAGTCCGCAGCAAAATTAGCTTCACGATAACAGTGCACAATATGCACTGTCCAGCCAAGAATTGGATTTTGTTTTTCCAAGTGGACATCTTTGCATGGAGTTGGTACGTATCATCTCAGTTTCTACTTTCAAGTCCCTCTCTTTGATAGCAGTCAAATATGGAGTCAATGAAAACACTGTAAAGCTGGTCTACAAATAGAAAGGCTTATTGTCAAAACGCGTTTGCTATGACTTGATTTTGTGTCACTGTAAGACCAATATAAATCACTAGGTATGGTTAGATATCTTGAAGACTTGAATCAATTTAGTTTAAAAAAAAAGGAGTAATTAGTTGGATATTTCAAATTTATCTTGAATAAATCTAGTTTAAAAAAGGATTTGTTAGTTGAATCTAGCTAGCAAGTGAAATTGAAACCATTTTTCGGAAATTTCATGTATACCGATGTTCTATACTTGTGCGAGTCATGTACCTTTGTAACTGGCCTCTCGACTACTTCGAGGGTAAACCGCATGACGTGTCATGCTGCCAGTTGTACTGTCCCCTTTGTACTCTAGCGCCTCCGAAGGCCAAACACTAGAGCTGTCCATTCGGTCGAGAACGAACCAAACTGACCGACTTTTAAGTTAACCGAAAATTCAGTTTATCTTAGAACACAAAACCGAACCAAAATTTATGAAAGATTTACAACGAAATCCAGCCGTCGATTCGGTTCGGTTATCAGTTATACGCATTAAACAATTAATCTTTTGAATAAATTTCGAATTATTAGTTGAACCAAAAATTTGATTTTTACCAAAACTAAAAAAATTAATTTTTAACACCTTGTTTATTCTTCTCAATAAATTTCATATTCTTCTCTAAGGATGATCTCGGACCCGAACCATGTCTTGAACTATGGTGAAATCAATTTTGAGTGCAAATTAATGATTGAGCCAATTGGAACTCGAAAAGCATCAATCAGTGAAGCAAATTAATGTTTTTATAACTTATATGTATAAATAGTGATGTTAAATTAAACACTCGGCTCGTTAAGACTTGAGTTTGAGTCCTTAACCAGTCGAGCTCAGACTCATTTGGTAAACTAGCCGAGCTCGACTAGGCTTGATAAGGCTCAACTGTTGTAAATAACGTGTTAAGTATCCCGTTTGGGGAGTGTGTTTGCAAGAACGAAAATAAAAAAATTGACTAGGGCCCGACCCGCACAAGTGGTGGAGCATGTGGCTTAAATCAAAGCAAAGGAAAGAACTTTAGTTGGGCTTGTAGGAAGGCACATTATATTCCCAGAAAAAATGAGCATATATAAGATGGACATAAATAGTGCAAAAAAAAATAGGACAGAAGAGGTTGTATTTATGAATTAGTTAAAGCGCCGCCATCTTGATGGATAAAGGCATCTATAATATCATTGTCATTCATACATAGATCATTTGATGTCTGGGTTTCACGCAATACCTCACCGTCGAACCTGAAATCGACGGAGGAATAAACGAGTTCAAGACGATCGCAAAAATCGAGCATGATCCTACGCAGAGGATCTTCTCTGTGTGTCCTGAAGCTGTGTCTTACTTCCCCTTTTATGGGGTCGTCATGCTGGATTTGGATGATTATAGGACCATCTTCTTCCTTTACTTTAAGACTCTCCATTAGGATCTATCAATTTTTTTTTTTTTTTTTTTTTTTTTTTTTTTTGAGGAGTGGTTTAAGGCTTGATAATTATACACAAGAAAAGGAAGCACCCTAGTACTATTATATAGTATTTAAAATGTGAAGGAAAATTAAGGGGGCTTAGATGATGTCTTTTTGGCTTCTCATTCTGTATTTTTCAGTGACTAAATTGATTGACTCCTATTAGTTCGACGCTGTAAAACTGCATCAATCGAGATTTTGGAAATATGAGAGCAACTCAATGTCAATTTGAATGACGTGGCCCACGGCGAGTTCACTTATTTAAATTTTAAAGTGAGTATGTTAAGATGTGTGGTTAAGATTTAAGGAAATGCTACAGTGTGCTTACGGAATCATTCCGTCGAAATTTGTAACCGTTAGGTTATCATATAACTGTCGTGGATAGTTGATCTAACGATTACAAACTCCGACAGAATTGTGCCGTAACGGGACCGTAGAATCTCCCTAAGATTTAACCGCTTGTTTTTGTTATTATATTTATACTCCCTCCTATTTTTAATAAATGTCGTTTTGAGAACTTGCACAGTAGTTAAGAATTTTCTTTCTGTCAATTATAACCCTCATTGATGAGGATAGAGATTAATGTTTTGAGAATAGATGAAGAGTGTATATGAAAAGACGTAGTGTATTTATTAGTTATATGAGGGTAATAATAGAAAAATATGAACAAAAGATCCAAAACGACATTTATTTAGCTAATTGTTGATAAAGCCAAAATGACATTTAAAAAAATAGGAGGTAGTATATTATATAGATCATAGACTGTTGACTTCGGTGTTGACTATTGACTTCCAGTGTCGACCATTGATCGTGGTGGTATAGTTATGTATGAAAAAAATATGCACTCAGCATACTGATATGAACTGAATACACATTTGGTAAAAATTGAATATACAATTTTTATTATGAATTAAATATGCACGAATAATATCAACTAAATATACGTTGTTTTATGAACTAAAAATGCACTGTATATATACTAAATGCGCATTGTGCGTGAACTAAAATGAACAATGAAAATATGTCAGATTCAATCTTATTTCTTTCAGTTTCTTAGGCATTTAGACTCGCTCCAGGTTACTCTCAGTTTCTTAGGTTTTTAGACTCGCCGGGTGACCTCTCCTTTCCTTTCCTGGTGTAACTTATCTCTTCGGGCATGCATGCCTCTCGACGTCTTAGATAATTTTACTCCTCTCTTTGACTTTAACTAAGAGTTTTACTTCAGGTGACCCTCTCAATTTCTTAGGTACTTGGACTTGATCATTGTAATTGTTTTAGTTTCTTATATATATTTATAGTCCTTTATCTGTTGGTGCAACTCAGAGTTTCTTAAATATTTAGACGCCTCTCTCTAGGTGACCTCTTAGTTTCTTAGGTATTTAGACTCTTCTCTTGCCTTTCCGCCGTAGTGCCCTGATATAGTCACGGCTAGTACTGTCGGCTCGACTGGTAGTCTCTGATATAACATGCCATACTCGATCGATTTTTAGGGATATATATTGAAGAATACGCCTATACATAGGCTAAGACACTTGATATGATAATATGGGTCAAGCTCAGCTTAGGCCAAGCCTAATTTGGACTATAAGGTACACTCCCACTATAAAAAGGGGCTAAGATACTCATTTCGCACATTCTCTATTCATCTTCATAACTACACTGTCTCTCTATATATATATACACTCTCATATGGATAGAGTACTGATTTAAGCATCGGAGGCTCAAAGTTGGGCACCCTTCTCGGGGTCCCCGACTTTGAGTTGTT